CTTCTCCCTCTCCCACTCCCCCTGCTTGTGTTCCTGCTCTCGCTCGCTCTCTCTCTGTCAAATAAATAAATAAAATCTTAAAAAAAAAAAAAAAAGAAACTAACACTGGAGCTAATATGAAATACCGGGGTGATGGTACCTATAGTTGGAATAGCTTTTGGAAGTTTTGCTAAAATGATGCTTATGGATTGGTAATTATGAGCCTCTCTTCCCTGAGGAAGTTAATAAAATCACTTTTTTTGTCTATTGATTTGAGGCAACATAAGCACATGCCATGTTTTAGTTCATCTATGTGAACTAGCTCACCCTATGTGTAGTAAAAATTTGTTTGTCTCAGTGAGACAGCCTGCTTTTAAAAGCAGGCTTAAAGGTGAATGTTCGATCTGAATGAGTTTTCTTTTTGGCTCCACAGAATGTATTTAACCGACAACTCTGTCTAGAACATGATGAGAAGCTGGTATCCTATCTCTCTCTATTACGTGACATTGAAATGAGGACCAAACAGATTAAACCTCTGGACCTAAACCTGGCAGAGCTACAGGACTTGCTGTGTCAGGCCAAGGTAGGTTCCCAGAGACTTCCTGCAGGCCCACCAGCTTGGAGGGAATAGAGAGTATTCAAGAAGAAAAACATGTTCAGGGGTGCCTGGGTGGCTTAGTTAGTTAAGCATTCTTACTCTTGATCTCGGTTCAGATCTTGAACTCAGGGTTGTGAGTTCAAGCCCTGTATTGGGCTCCATGCTGGGCATGGAGCCTACTGAAAAAAAGAAAAAATATATATTTATTTATTTAAAAAAATAAAGGAAAAGAAAACACCACCATTTAAAGGACCTCCCCCCCAAAAAAATAGATTAAAAAATTGGAGATCTCTGAAGAACATCAGGAAACACTGGTCTCACAAAAGACAAAGCAGAAGAGACTCAAGGGAGGAGTTGTAGCAGGAGTAAATACAGTAGGGAGACTGAGTGAGGACTAAAAAGGGCATTTAGTGCCCAGAGTCATTGGTAACCTTAATAAGAATAGTTTCAGTGGAGCTGTAGGGTATCAACGAGGTTCCAGTGAGAACAAATGGGAGGTTGGAAGGTGGGAGCAATTAATGTAAATCATTCTTTCCAGAAGCTTGGTGGTGCAGGCGAGGAGAGAGGTGTAGGACACTAGCTGGAGGAGATGCACTGAAAAAAGAATGTTTTGATTGGATTTTGGGGCCGACTAGGAGGAACCAATAGAAAAGGAGAACTTGAAGTTAGGAGAGAGAAGAAATGATAATGGATGACATGAGTTCCTGAGCACATAAAATTAGACAGCTTGAGAAGGAGGAAGAGGAGCGCTTTCCCTCAACCGAGGTTAAGACTTGTCACAGGATTGGAGTCACAATGAGGACAGACTGTAGAGGTTAAGCAGTTCTCTCAATATCCGGAGTATGGCCTTGGGAGGGCATCTGAAGGGCAGGTGAGGATGATGTCCAAAACTGCCAACTTTCCCACAGCTTATTTCTGGCTCCTTTGCTGAGGATCAGAATATTGTAGACGCTGAGTTAGGAAGGCTGGGTTGGGATATTTTTCTATCTTTTCCTTTTGCCTCATTGGATTTTGGAGTGGAAGAGTTTTTTATTTGTTTTTTTTTTAAGATTTTATTTATTTGAGAGAGAGCACGTGCATGAGCAGGGGAGGCAGAGGGAGAGGAAGAAGCAGACTCCCCAGTGAGTGTGGAGCCTGACGTGGGCTCAATCCCGAGACCCTGAGATCATGACCTGAGCCGAAGTCAGACGTTTAACCGACTGAGCCACCCAGGAGCCCAGGAAGTGTCGTTCTTTTGTTTGACTTATTTTGTGTCACATTATATAAGGCATAATGACACTCTCAAAGAGATAGCAAGTTGTATTGGATAGTGCACTACACTGAGTCAGGAAACCTGAATCCAAGTCCTGGCTCCATTGCTGAGGTGGGTGACTTTAGACAAAAATAAAATAGAATGGAATAGAATAGAATAGAACATCTTCAAATGCTGAGGCATTGCTTCTGTAAATCTGGTATAATAATAGTATCTCTTCTGCCTACCTTGAGAATTAGTGATTGTGAGAACCAAACAAACAAATGAACATACATAAAAACATTTCATAAGCTGTAAAGCAGGTGTTGGCATGAGGTGACAGAAAACTGTGTTCACAGCTGATTATAGCAAGAGTTCTAGTCTTGATTTTGGAGGTAACTCCACTTTATCCCCCCAGGTATTAGACAGGGAGCTAAAGGATCTGTCCACCTTGGTGAATCAGGAATTAGAATGTGTCAATCAGATTATCATCAGCCAGCCTCAAGAAGTCCCTGCTCAACTGTTGAAGGCTCTAGAGAAAGATGCCAAGAATCTTCAAAAGTCCCTCAGCTCTGTGAGTGATACCTGGAGTTCCAGATTCCTCCACCTCCAGAGTGCTGTGGAAGTAAAAAAGGTTGCTTCTTTTTATTCACAAAGGCTCACAAAGTCTGGGCAGGCTTGAAGATTTCCATCATCTAATTTGCCATTTGTTTCTTAGACTAGAGTGTTAAGTCAGCACGAACAGCTAGAAGGCAGTCTTCAAGATCTGAGAGCCTGGGTTGGCAGTACCAATCTTCTTCTGAACAGCGAGGAATATAGTGAGGAAACAAACACTGACAGCCTGAAACACTGCCTCCAGCAATATGAGGTAGGCTCTCCACCCATTCTCAAGTCCGTTTTCATTGTCCTTGGAGTTACATCAATTTTATTTTCCTGCAAGGCAAACCAGAACCTGTACTTCTCTTTCTTGGGAAAACTGATTTTCCATTTTAGAAATAAAGTCTGCTGTGTTTAGTTTTTTAGGTTATCATACCCTTAGAGCTTCGGTGATTATGGTTATTTCTCCTTTCAGCTATTCTCTGAGAAAGAGTCAACGGAATGGCCTATTATTATCAACTTCATCTTGTCTTTATAACCGAGCATCTAGTATCCGTCCTTTGTTTCTAATTTTACACACACCGATTTCAGGGGACTTGTTGATCCATGATTGAGAGCATGGCTTGGCAAACTTTTTCTGTAAAGGCCCAGATAGTAAATATTTTAGGCCTTGCAGGTCATACACAAATGGACCATTTCTGTATAGCCATTCACCTTTGCTGTTGAAACATGAAAGCAGCTGTAGACAGTACATAAATGAATGTTCATGGGTGTATTACAATAAAACTTTATTTACAGAAATAATGGCAGGCAGATTTGATTGCCAACCGCTGACCTAGAGAGATGCTTTTCTTCTTAAGCTTTAAATTAATGGATTCTTTTTATAAGTTAGTGAGAGAAAAGTAAACCCTGAGATACTCATGAGCTGAGGTGTTTCTTCGCTGCCAACATTGTTCTTTGTTTTGGTTACACTTAATATAATACCAGATATTACTCCCACAGGTTTATCCACCCTCTGCTATAGATAGCACACTCCTTACATTCTTTCTAAAGTCAGAGCACAACTAAAGATGCCCTCTCCTTCTGTTCTCTCCTTTTTCCCCAGTCTTAAAAGAAGCAGACATGATTTGTCCATGGTCAGCCTTCTTGGATGCAACCCATCCCTTTTTGTCTTGCAAGAGTTGACCTGCCATCTTCATTCATGCCTTTTCCTCCAAATCTATCATTAGGCGAGTGAGTTGCAGACTTGAGAGTATTAAATAAAAGCAAGAGTGAATAAAATTCCTGTGACACAGTATATGATATAAAAACGCAGAGCATCTTATGCATGGTTTCCTCCCTAGTTATAACTTAAATGAATGCCCTAATGGGAAGACAGCCACAGTCTAAGTCTTGTTTTCCTAATGACAGTTTCCCAAATCCATTCATCACAGATGAAGAAAGACACTTAGCTTGATGATAAATATGCAAGAAGCCCCTTCTCTCTGCTCTGCAGGATTGCTGACTACCCTCAGTTTCAGAGCTATAGGGATCTAGATTATCTTAATTGTTTTTATTGCATCCAGTGTTAAATAGCTGATGACCACTAAATGTTTGTGGAAAAAATGCATGCTTTTAATTGTCTTAAAGCAGATAAATTCTAGTGTTAGGTAGGTATATATATGTAACTGTTATATAAGAAAGTCTGACTGTAATCTTTTACACCCTTAAAATGTGTAAGCAACATTATTTACTCTAAAAATCATGTATTAGTGAACTGCAAATAAATTGAGTACTTCCCCACTTCTGGCCTTCCAGTAACTCACTGCTGGACAAATACAAATAGATATTTGATCTAAGACTATACAATTAGGCCGATCTATCTCAGACCAGAAATTCATGATATATTTTCCAAACGTTAAAAAAAATTTTTTTTATAGATACCCTGAGATTAGCAGTAGTATAATTCTATTAACATAAATCATTAAAAATTTACTGCATTTGGAGATCAGGGTCCAGTAAAGAAAACCTAATTGTAATATATGAGGAGTTTAGAGAGACCAGAAGTGAGATTTCCCGTGCTGGTTTGGCCCTAGAAATGATCAGTATCAATGATAAAAATACAGCAAATTAACCCCCCTTTATTTATGTTGACTCTTTGATTAAAACCAACAGCTTCTGCTTTGATAGAGAACCAAAAGTTTTATTTTTTTTCATTTCCTTACTTAGGATTTGAAGCAGCCCATGGCTGAAAGGAAATCTCAGCTGGATGCTCTTGCTTTTGATATTCAGTTCTTTATCTCGGAGCACGCGCAGGACCTATCCCCTCAGCAGAACCGGCAGATGCTGAGGCTTCTGAATGAACTGCAGAGGTCCTTCCAGGACCTTGTGGAGCAGACCGCAGCTCAGATGGATGCCTTGCAGGGCCATTTTCAACAAATGGAGCAGGCAGCCCAGGTCAAGGTCAGACTGAACCAGCGGCTGGGCTCACTTTGTCTTTTGGGGTATCCTCTCTATCCTTGAGATTTCTGGCCAGACTCCATCTGTCATGATTCCTGGAGCCTGCGTTGACCAGTTTTTGAAATTTCATGTCCTCTAGACCAGTTTGGTTCTGGTCTAGGAGGCAGCTATTCTGGCTGTATTTCTTGCCATGTTTTTGGTTTTATGTGTGTGTGTGAGAGAATGTGTGTGTTTACGTGCGTATGTATGTGCAAGTATTTTCCTTTTAGTAAGACTCGACCCTCACTGTGTCTCATCGTGTCTGACTTCCAAACAAAAGCTACATCCCTCGCCCTTATTTCTCCTCCTCTCTTCCTCAGCATTCTTTTGTGGGCCATTAGGAACAGTTAGGTACTCTGAGCTCTTGAGAAGAATGGTTCTGAAATGACTTTTATTCTGAAGCTTTTCACATGATTAACAGTAATATTCCTTGACCGCCTTCAAACAGCCAACAACGAAATTTTTATTAGAATCGTATTAATTTTTTAGCACTTTTTAAATCATGATTAGTTTCTAGCACCTTTCTTCACACTGTGATGCCAAGTGCTCATTCAATTATGGAAAACAGGGTCTAGAACCGGGTGTTAACATTTTGAAAAGAAACCATCCTACCCCACCGTCTGTCACAACCCTTTTCTTGCAAAACTCAACATAACTGCATTGGTGGTAACATCGTAACCTAAGAATACCAAGAATGGTGCTTAGGCATTTTTGCTGTTGGAATAGTAAGTTGGAGCTCAACAAGATGATATTAGAATGTCATTATCACCAGCAATCTGTCTCAGGGTCACCTTTATTAAATATTGTGCAAAGTTGAATGGAGCTTTTTTGAGTTAGGCTCAGTGGAAATTAAGTTAGTCAATTCCGTATGTCCCCCCATTACTGCTTGTTGTTCCACCTGTATTGAAATTGAAACAAAATACTGATTCAACCCTTTAGGTTACTTTCCAAACCTGAAAATTTGCAATATCCTCACTTGGGAATGTATATAGCATGGTGTAGTCTGTGGATAATTAATGAAATAGCATTGGTCTGAGCCACTTTAAGACACAGCCCGGATCCAGGGTAGGCCCCTGAGCTGCAGCAGGTGGTAGAACTGCATGTGAACATTCTCTCTGAGCACATAATTAATTCCACAATGTTTATTAACCTTGTTATTGTCAGAAATGCTCTGCTTCTCTCTATATTTGCCCTGAATGCATGTGTATGTCTGTGTGTTAACTTGTTTGCTTTGCTTTTTTCAGATTCAGTCTGCACCCATCCTAACCCATGAAGATCCCGTTTTACAGCTGAAGAGCTCTTAGGAGTTCTCTTCCAGCGCCCTTCTATTTGTCCTAAAGAGGGGGAGAGAGGGCCAGTGTGGGCACCTGTTTGTAAGTGCAGGTGACTTAAACACCATCAGAAGGTAGAAACTGGTGGACAATGGTTCTAGAAGGATGGTCAGGAGAACACATCATGCTCAATGGCTCAATTAGGTGCTTCAGTGTCATGCAGCCGAGATGAGATTTGGAGAAAGGATCAGGCACAGAAACATATTCCCTCCCTCCCGTGGGCCTGGCTTTTGTCTTTGATATCACTTGTGGACACCTGAAGGACTGAGCCAGTTGCTATTCTTGGACAGTTTCCTTCTCAAAATAGCGAGGCCCCTAATGCCTGGCATGGAATCATTCCATTTAATGGGATCTGCATTTGTGAGACGTTTCATTTATAAAGTCAGCTCAATTATTAAGAAGCTCGATTAGCTTATGAATTATCCAGATTCTTGATTTTTTTTTCCCTTCCTAATCCAGTCCTTCTAATTTTCTGTATTTTAACTTAGTATGTAGCATATCCTCTAGTTCTGGTTGAGGAATTGATCATAACCACTAATTTATTATTATCACCATTATCATTTATGGATTTGAAGCATCTGGGCTCTCTGTTCTCCATTTCCAGGGCTAATAACAGCAGTCTGGCAATGGAACTCCCATTCAAAACCTGGGAGCATTTTCACCTGAAATTATCCCTGAATATAATCCAAACTATTGACCCAGATCAACAGACTGTCCAAATGCAGGGAGCTTTCTGAATATGACTTCTGTGTTTTTTCCTGTTCTAGTCTCTCACCAACTCTTCCATCCTTAAGATATAACCTTTCTGTTTTACATTTCAGGGAGTTATCTTGTATTTGTAAGATGAGAATTTTTAATCATCTCTTGGCCCCTTTGCATTTCAATTAGACCCTGCAGAAACAACAAAATACCTGTCACCAGAAACTGGAGGATCTTTGCAACTGGCTAGGACAGGCAGAAAGTGCATTGGCAGGTCACCAAGGTAGAGCCACCCAGCAGGATCTCTCTGCCTTGCAGAAGAACCAGAGTGACTTGAAGGTCAGTATGAGTTAATTCACTTTTCTCATTCCTTCAGCATATCTTTATAAAGGCTTTCTATGTGCCAGGCACAGTGCTTCATGCTGGCAACATAACAGTAAACATCCCTGTTCTCATGAAGCGTAAAGTCTAGTGGTCAGGAGAACACATCAAGAATCTTTAATTCTTATGCTTTGTATGTTTAACAGTCAGACCCAATCCTGTCTAGGATGTTAGAAAATATTGAAGAAGTATCACTTAAACTGAAAGTGAAGAGCATGTAGGGGTTAACACATGAAGGGGCAGAGGGAGGAGGAGAATATGCCAGGCAGAGGCCCGAGCATCTGAGCATCTGTCTTGAGGTGGGGATGGGATCAAATACAACATATTCAAGAAATGAAAGAAAGCTGGTTTAATTGGACTGCAAAGAACAAAAGGAAGGTTAGTGAACGATGAGGTGGGACCCACATCATGCTGGGCCTTGTAGGTGCATTAAGGATAAGGAGTGGTGGATGCCTGGTTGGCTCAGTCAGTACAGCATCTGACTCTTGATCTTGGAGTTGTGAGTTCCAGCCCCATGGTGGGTATAGAGATTACTTTAAAAAAAAAAAGGTCGGGGGGGACGCCTGGGTGGCTCAGTCAGTTAAGCGTCTGCCTTCGGCTCAGGTCATGATCCCAGAGTCCCAGTATAGAGCCTGCTTCTCCCCCTGCTCCTCACCCTGCTCGTGTTCTCTCTCTCTCTCTCTCAAATAAAAAAATAAAATCTTAAAAAAAAAAAAAAAATTAAGTGTTAGAATATTTCTTTTTTTTTTTTAAGATTTTTTTATTCATTCGAGACACGGAGATAGAGAGAGAGAGAGAGAGAACATGAGCGGAGGAGAAGCAGAGGGAGGGGAGAAGCAGGCCCCCCACCAAGCAGGGAGCCTGACATGGGGCTTGATCCCAGGACCCTGGGATCATGACCTGAGCCGAAGGCAGACGCCTAGCCATCTGAGCCACCCAGGCGCCCCAGTGTTAGAATATTTCTTAAGTAAAAAAATATCTTAGAAGTTCTTACTCGCATTGGTTTAGGCCTAAACCTTAAGCAGATAATAGTCAGGGACGCACATCTGGTGGGGGTCTGTGTCATCCTAGCCGTTCCATCTGTGTGCTGTTAGCTATCTTCGAAGAAGTAACATTGACATCTCTGCCCTCCCTGTGTTCACGTGTTAAGGATTTACAGGACGACATTCAGAATCGGGCCACCTCATTTGCCAGTGTTGTCAAAGATATCGAAGGGTTCCTGGAAGAGAACCAGGCCAAGCTGAGCCCCCATGAGTTGACAGCTCTTCGGGAGAAGCTTCATCAGGCTAAGGAGCAGTATGAGGCTCTCCAGGAACGGACGCGGGTGGCCCAGAAGGAGCTGGAGGAAGTGGTGACCTCAGCTGTACAGCAAGAAACTGAAAAGGTGACCAGACTTCTTTGATACTTGGTGTTTTTCAAAAAAGAAAATTTTGGTACCTGGCAAATGAAGAAAAGGTAATAAGGGGAAACTACCTGACAGAGAGCATCGAATCATGAAAAGGGGCTACTTCAGGAGCTGGTCTGTGAGTCAGTATTTATTTTGGGAGGAAACATCCTGAAGGACTTTAAGTCAGGAATAGTTGGTAGAAGTTCATATCACCCACCCCATCCCCAAAGAAAAAATATTTCTTGCTATCTGTATACTCAGCACTCTATTTGGAAAATCGTGGAAAGAACTTAGTGAAGAAGGGTAGTACCTTGGGGAGGAAAAAGCAAATGTCACATTTCAAACATGAATCTAGATTAATAATCCAAGAGCACGAGGGGGAAATATCTGGGGAGTCTTAGTGTGCCACATGCTATCCCCAAGCTGCCCCTATAGATTGGTGGGAACTGGCACTGGGATAAACCTAGGAGAAATTAAAGTCTCAAATGGTTTTCTGCATTCTCCTCGGCACTGGCAGAGTAAATTAGAATCCTTGCTCTGGCCATGGGCTCTGACACGAATGGGGGAGGTAGAAAATATAGAAAAGAGAAATAAATTACCTGAGGGGGGAATTCTGAAATATATGAAGGTATCACTTGACATAACCTGTTTAATTACAGTACTTGAACAGTCAGAAAATGGAATTCGAGAGGCAAATTTTAGAACTCAATACTCTGATCAAAAACTAATGATGTAGGGGCGCCTGGGTGGCTCAGTTGGTTAAGCGACTGCCTTCG